AAAAAAAAAAACCCTTTATTTAAAAAAACTTCCAAGTTTGATTTCTGCTTATAAAATTATAAAACACAGGTTTCCCTGAAAAATTGATCTTCCAAAGTATACTTAAATATGAATTAATATGATTTATAAATTATCAAGATTACCTGTGTAGTGAAAAGCAAAGTAATGTGGAATGGAATTTTACTTGAACTTCTCAGGCAATCCGTCATATTTATTTGTGCTCTTTTGACACATACTGCTTTGTTCTTTTCTATACTCACGAGGCTAAAAAATTTGCCAATGTAGCCAAATTTCCTGGGCTTCTTTGAAGACTCAGCTCAACACTTCAAAACATCTATAAGTGTGTTCATGTTGCTGGAATAACACAAATGATTTTCGGGCCAGAGGTTTTGTCCAATGAGTCCTAAGAAGGTTCTAGCACTCTACATAGTTGTATAAGGCAGATGACGCTATAGTTGTATTAGTATGATTCCAGTTCCAGAAGACATATAGCAGATGAATTTTATATTTCAAAGTGAAACTAAAGCCGGGTGCCAGTGGTTCACGTCTCTAATCCTAGCTACTCAGGAGGTAGAAATCAGGAGGATTGTGGTTTGAAGCCACCCCAGGCAAATAGTTCCTTGAGACCCTATCTCGAAAAACCCTTCATAAAAGTAGGGCTGGTGGAGGGCTCAAGGTGAAGGCCCTGAGTTCAAGCCCCGGTACTGCAAAAAAAAAAAAAAAAGAGAAAGAAAGAAAGGAAACTAAATTTTTGATATTGAAGTAAAAACTAGATTAACAAGGAAAAAAAAACTGATTTTTTTTTTTTTGGCGGGACTGTGGTTTGAGCTCAGGGTCTCGCATTTGCTAGGCAGGAGCTCTACCACTTCAGCCACTCAGCCAACCCTACAAAACTTGATTCTTAAAATGTCATTACATAGTATAATTTATGTTATTTTTAATACACAAAAAGGCTAACATAAAATATTAAGAAGGAATAGCAACATGAATACTTCTCACATCCAATGCTACTAACAAGAGGCAATGAAGAAGCCAGCCAGCCGCTTGTTAAAAAGGAGAAGCTCAGCTTGTAAAAGACAGGAAGGTGAAAGCACAGATCAATAAACTGGGAAAAACATGAAGAAGTCCTAGGCAGATACAGTGCTAGATTTAAGTAGAAATGGATAGCTGCTTAGTTGCTTTTACTTTCCTTTCTAAGGTAATAGATATGAATCCTTTCAAAAGACAGGCATACAAGTATGCAGGTGAAAGCTACCAAAAAGATCCAGTGGAGGTAGAAAATATGGAGAAAGCAGAACTTTGTTCTTACCAAAGACAACTCCTCTGAACAATCTTTTGCCCAGAAATGTGGTGTTTGAATTTCACAATATCTGCTGAATCCAGGGAAGTTATCCAACCATGTACCTTCCAATTAGGAGACATTCCTTCCTGGAGAGGTTCCACTTCCTCCCATGGCATGGCATATAAATGGAGCAAGCATACATTATGATGATGTCCTATGTCAATCACAGTAATGACAAGGACTTCATTAGGAGTTGATGGAAAAGATGGGAAAATTCCTTCCATTAGCCTGGAATATATTCTGCTATATATTGCAGATGGTAGGAAATTAGCATTACCTCATAATGCAAAGTTCTGCCAGAATTTAGTTAGACACTGGCCTCAATTAACTGCAGAACAGTCTCATACCAAAGACTTGTTTAAATGGTCAAAGCTGATTAAAGGATTCTTTTGTGTGTATGACTATAGCTGTCAAAACCAGAGATGATCTACCTCTTAATCTAGTGGCCCAGTGCATCTAGGTAAGCTATTCTTTGATGTGTGATTTAAGTCCTTCAGGTGAAATCACCAAACTGATTAATTAGTTTCCATCTGCAGTGAAGCAGAGAAATATAGTCACCTAAACCAGGAATATCTTCTTTGGTATAGGTATAAAAGCACCATTTTGTAGTTTTAAGGCTGTGTAGTCCTGATTCACATGACATAAGACAAGCACCCCACACCCCAAGTAAATATAAACTTTGAATAGACTAAGAAGATGTTAACCTGGCTCTCTTAAGAGCCAAGTGTACCACCACTAGCAGCAATGATCACTGAACCCCTACAACTGTCATGAAATGCAATCATTTTGCTTTAATGGAAGGAATGTGGATAAGGTGGGGCCTACTCGATGCTGTTTTTTTTTTTTTTTTAAGACTGTAAGCTGGGACAAAGAGAAAGCAAAAGAAAAGTCCTATGCATTCATACAGTTTCCAGTGAGGCACTGAGGCAAGGCTTCAGTTACACTGTGGCAAACAAATCCTGCAGGGCAGGATTTCACCAGAGTGAAGTCTAGAGTGGGGAAGAGCCATGATAGGGTTGTTTGGAACCTATCAAGGCAAGCCTGCAGGAGCAAAGAGCACTCATCAGTGGTTTTGAAAATTTGGCATCAGAAACCAGAAGTGAGTTAGCAAGCATAAGGCGGCTCTGGAGTGATAACTGAAGAGGTCAGTGGTTCTACTTCCATCACTCCCCACCTCCTCACTCCACCCTATGGCAGCCCATCCTCTAGCAGCAGTAGCATGAAGGTTTTACTACAAAGGCATCTACAAACAGGCCAAACAAGGTATAAGGAAGCAAACCCAGAATTACATGGAATCCAAACACACCACGTCATTTAACATATAAGAAAATTCTAGCATAGTCCCAATCACTACTTCAGTCATATTGAATTGATTCTGGTATTCCAGAAAGTTCATAAAAAAAGACTGTGCCCATACATGAAATTGTTATGCTTTTGCTGATTTTGCTATTATATGATGCTACTCACGTGCAGTGTTCATTTGTAATAATAACATAAAAATTCCACAAATACATTTCAAAGGTACACACCCTCCAAACCTATCCAGTGTTTCTTAAAGTCATATCCAATAGAAAAGACTTGATTCTAAAAATAAAAATCAACACATACACACACAATATTGTCAGAATATAAGAGCAAACTCTTCTAAATGTGAGACTCAGCAGAAGCATTAGTCTTAAGTGTTGGCTTTGCCATTAAAAAGTTGTAAAATTCTAGGTAAAACACTAAAAATTCTCTGGAATGCAATTTCATCTTTGGTAAAGTGAAGAAGCTGAATTTCATCATTTCTTAGCAAAAACTCAGCTCTAAAAAGATGCCTTAGTTTTTCTAATCCAATTTCAATGGGCTTTTGGTAATCTTAGTGATACATAAACGTTAAATTCAAGGATATAGTTTTTTACATTTAAAGAAAATTTAATACCACTTAAAGACAATAAAACATAGGCATTTTTAGAAGAATTTGTGCTAATACTTCTATTAAAATATAGTTGAATAATTTAAAAATACCTTCAATGTAATAGAAAATGTAAATCAATTTAATATATAATTTAAAGTTGAACTCTAAGAACAACATACTTCCTCAGAATAATTTAGTAGACAGGTCAAATGTCAGTATACTGAGGATAACATTCATTTGTTGCCACTGGACCTGTAAATTCTAGAAGTGAGAGCTCAGACCCTGAAATGTTTTGGAAGGCAAGTTTTAGGTGAAAGAGAAAAATGAGGACAGGAAAGAGATCATACTCACACTGTTCTCTCACCTTTAGTGAAGCAATAAGCAAACAAAAACTAACTTGCCCTTGATGCTACTCTACAGTAAGCATTTTGAATCTCCATCTTTCTCCTACCTTAACATAGGAAAGAAAATTCTATATGCCACATTCCTTTCACCTTAGCTTTCCTACTTATGATTTACTTTTTTAAATGATACAAATATATTACATACTATTCTCCAAAAAATGCAGTATCATTCAATATTAAGCTTGCCTGACTAAAGAAATGGATAGAAATTCACATTTGGCTGGAGAATTAAACATGTGTAACTGTTTGATGAGAGGAAATTCAATTTATTCTGCTTAACTCTTACTACTTCAAAGCATAGACACAACAACCCTTTCACAACAAATCTCTTCCCTGATACAGTTAAATGCAAATTCTCTTTTCTGTCTTACTCCAGAAAGCTCCTGCATGCATAGCTGAGACGCCACCTACTGCAAAACTGAGCTGACAGCGCAGGCAACGCTGCCAGCATTTCCATTCCATCACCAGGCTGGGACGGAATAAAGGCGTGCTTCTGTGGTAGTGGTTTCTTTTTAAAAAAAAAAAAAATCTCAAAGCCAAGAAGAACAAGCTGAAATAGCATCTTCAAAAATGGAGCGTAAAATAATCCGAAGAGAAAAAGAAAAGGAGTATGAAGGAAAACATAACAGCCTGGAAGATACTGAGCAAGGAAAGAACAGCAAATCTACACTGATGACCCTCAACGTTGGTGGATACTTATACATTACTCAAAGACAAACACTGACCAAGTACCCAGACACTTTCCTTGAAGGTATAGTAAATGGAAAAATTCTTTGCCCATTTGATGCCGATGGCCATTATTTCATAGACAGGGATGGGCTCCTCTTCAGGCATGTTCTAAACTTCCTACGAAATGGAGAACTTCTGTTGCCTGAAGGGTTTCGAGAAAATCAACTTCTTGCCCAAGAAGCAGAATTCTTTCAGCTCAAGGGACTGGCGGAGGAAGTGAAATCCAGGTGGGAAAAAGAACAGCTAACACCCAGAGAGACTACTTTCTTGGAAATAACAGATAACCATGATCGTTCACAAGGACTGAGAATTTTCTGTAATGCTCCTGATTTCATATCAAAAATAAAATCTCGCATTGTTCTGGTGTCCAAAAGCAGGCTGGATGGATTTCCAGAGGAGTTTTCAATATCGTCAAATATAATTCAATTTAAATACTTCATAAAGTCTGAAAATGGCACTCGACTTGTACTAAAGGAAGACAACACCTTTGTCTGTACCTTGGAAACTCTTAAGTTTGAGGCTATAATGATGGCTTTAAAGTGTGGCTTTAGACTGCTGACCAGCCTGGACTGCTCCAAAGGGTCAATCGTTCACAGCGATGCACTTCATTTTATCAAGTAATTACCTGTCTCACGAACAAAGGCAACAAGCATGCAGCCAGTGAGCCTCAGAAAACCACAGCATCAAAGACATCCCAAATAACGTGCCCAGAAAGCTCTGTACTACAGAGCCCTGCTGCTAATCAAGTATTGTGAGCTAACGGTATGTAAATTCTATCGCTAAAGATAAAGATAAAGGGTGTTCCTGCTGATCAGACTCTTCCACCTAAATGAAAACAGTAGTCTGCTACATACTGTAAATAAAGACTGAATGCTTGTGCTATTTGTTTATTTTTCCTTAAGCTGTCTTTCAATCAGAATGTCTTGGGTACTTGCACAAAAAACCAAGCATGTATATCATCTATAGTTCATTAAAATAAATGGTAATAAAATATTCTAAGGGGCTATAAGGTTTTAAATCCTTTCTACTTATCGTAAAAATCTACAAAGAAATTGAACTGGTAAAATTAACCACTGAGAGCAAAATTGATGTGCAGAACCACCCAAAACAGAGCTATAATGCCACAAATGAGACTGTGAGAAGGTATTAAAGCTACTGATTTGATTTTTAATAGCAGACACCAAATGCTTATTCACTGCTCCTGTATTTCATACTAGAATTATAGCTGAATTGGTATTTTGCTGAAAATTCCTAGAAAACCACTTGATGACAATAAAAAATAAGTAACAGTGATAGTTTCTTTGCTTGTATTAACAATTACAATAAAAAGTTACATGTGTCACTTTAAGAAAAATAATACCACTTGATGATTTTGTACAGTATTATGCATTGATGTAATTAGCAGGTGAGCTCCTGTGACCCTGACTGGTCTTGGAAATTAGCAAATTCATTTCTTTGCACACTGAGCTCCAATTCAGCACAGGTAACTTAGTCTCAACAGATTACACGGTGTTAGAATCGTAAAGGAGTCTATTTTCACAATCACTCTAAATATATGTTCATTTTCAAGCTCAAAATATTCAAAGAACACTAAACATTATTCTTCTGAAAACACTTCATTGAATCTTCTCAATAACTATCTTGATGCTAAATCTCAGATTCACTGAGATGAGATTGTTTTAACTTCATGCTAATTTTTAAGAAAATTAAAAACTGTTTTAGTTAATGGCTGTTTAAATGAAAAAACTACAAACTGAACTTCAAATGTAAGTCCATCATTTCCCTGGTCCCTGAAAAGAATAGCTAAATTATTTTTTTTCTATTGATAAGAACAAATTATATCTTAAATTTGTTCCTTTAGAAATAAACCATTTAAAATTGGTAACTAAATCTTAATTTAATAATCTTCTACAAGAGTTTTGAAAATCTCGACTAAAGTTACATAGATACCAAAATTTTGATTACTTACAAGAACTCAGACTGAATAAAGCTAATATTCACCCCCAGAACTAATACTGGCTTTCAGTTATAACATCTAAAGTAATATAAAAGTTGGTTGTACATATTAAAAGAAACCTTTAGTAATCTATTATACAAAAAGTTCTTTAAAAATTCACATTAAGAAAACAAGTTCATGTCAATACACAATTTTCTTTTATGTATACTAAAAAAATGTTCTTACTAAAGTATCAAATTCTTAAGTACTTTAAATGGTTTAGTCAGAATTTAAAGGGACTATGAAAACAGGGAAAAATAGTAAAATTTAATAGTCACTATAACTGAACTGTTTATATACCTTTCCAGCCTATGAGCTGACTTTTCCTTCACATTTGGACTTTGGTAGTGAAAAAAATGGTAGTGATTTAATGTCAAAACCAGATTTTCTTTAACAAGATTTCATTACAGATAATAAAAATAGTTCCGACACATCTTTTTTACAGGAGATGTCACTGAACAGATCTCTACAGAATTACAAGTAAGGTTATTCCATCAATTCACAGAAAGAGAATTTAACTTTTATAACAGTTATTTTTGTAGGAAACCATTCATTTTTATGTAGTATCTCTAAACAAATCATATCTGCATGCAGTTAATTCCTCAAACATCTGAGAAATCACAGTACTGTAAGGCAATTTAATAATCTAGAAGGAAATTTGACTAAATTAGTTACCCTTGTAACTTTTTATAAATGAAAAAAATTTAAAATTAGTTGCTTTAGTGCTTAAACATTGTGCTCTAAGTTTATCAAAAAACCTAGTTTTTAATTTTAGTGATTTCTAAAAACATTTAGAAATACCTTCCATGTAAGAATTATATAAAATGTCAATTATAAGTCAGAGTCACACTTAAGTGACATTTTGCTTGGAGTCACTGAATAATTTTTCTCAGGTCTTTTTTTCATAAGTAAATATTATCCTAAAGAACAAATCACAAAGTTGTCTCTTTATTTTCCTTTTTTAAAGAAAGGTAATAAAAAGAAGGTTACTATAGTTGCCAGAAGCTAAACATATGTTCTCTTCTATTTGGAATTAGCTCATGCAATGATTCTATCACCAACTTTAAAATACGAAAATGAAAACATAGCTTATGGCTTTTACTATTTTAAAATGCATATGGGCAGCATGAATAACAAATGAAACACAGACTTTGCAAATAATACAGGGAAGCTGATTTACTATTCCAAACTAGAAGGGCTGACAGAGTGGATCAAGAGGTAGAATGCCTGCCTAGCAAGTATGAGGCCCTGAGTTCAATCCCCAGTTTTGCCAAAAATACACATGCACATACAAAAAACTATTTCAAACTAGAGAAAATGATGATATGAATAAACTTGGGTTTGTTTTTTTTTAAAGAAAATTACCTGTATTTCAAATGCTACTTTAAAGGTAACATTTAATAGGTATCTTACTATATGCCAGATACCATGCTATGAACACATATTATCTCAATTAATCATCAAACGACGCTAAGAAAGGTTCTGTTACTCTTTTCATCTTGCAGTTGATGAGGAAGAGACTATGAGAGTTAAGTTATTAAGAGACAGAACCAAGATATGAAGCCGAGATATACTGTTTTAGAGCCAGCAGGCAGCATGTCTGTTTATTCAGCCCACTTATATCCCCAACACCTAGAACCTGGCACAAACCAGGCAGTTACAAAGTAGATAGGAATATACCAAAATACAGGGTTGTCTTACTTGATATAATCTCACAATGCAAGTACTACTAAAATGTTAAGTGAAAAACTGAATTTTGGAATAGCAAATAATATTTTTAATGTCATGTCATGTCATTTAAAGGACACGAGGTGAATCATTCATCTCACAAGACTAAAGAATATCCCAAATTTGTCTATTTCTGAACCTAGATTTTTACATATCAGGTTTGCTGAAAATGAGATTAACATTTTATGACTTGTTCAATCCAAAGAGCCAAAGAAAAATATGGTACGATGAAACTCACATGAGTTCTAGGATGAGAGACTTGGGTTCAAATTCCATTATATTCTGCTAACTCGTTTACAGAATAAGCAAGATCCTAAACTTTTAAAACTTTCAACAACGTCATAGTAAAATAGGGATAATGATGATTGTTTGATAAGGTTTTTTGTAAGGTTCAAATTAAATTTTCAGTTGTATAAAGTGCCTCGCCCTCCACAGACTTTCAAAAAAGGCACTGATTATTATCCTGTCCAATGCAAAGGTATCTTCATAACCACCAATAACAGCATATTTATATTAAATATGCTCTACACTTAGAACGTACGGAACAGAGAACTTTTAACTAACACAATGTGATGAAATATTATACTATACAAAAATGTATGTTAAATTGTTATAGGCAAACAAATTTCATCTTATTAGTTGAAAAATACATATGATGAGTTTCTTGGGATTAGTCTTATATAAAAATCAACAATTATAAGCATGGTAGTAGCTGTTTTACCATCAACTTAAAATAAGTGGGAGTAATACATATAATACAATTTTAAACATATACCTATTTAATAATTATGATTAAATAACAAAATTCAATGATGTTAGTCAAAGTTAAAATTAGTATCTGAATCATAATTATCCTTGCTATTAAAGCAGAGATACAAGACAGACTATCCAAAACAACTTGCAACTTGGGAATTACTTGCATCTAGCTTTGAGATATGTAACAACAGCTTATGTAGCAGACATCTTCCTAATCATAGTTTGTTTAGGCTAATATTAAAATTAACTTGCTTCTGTCAACAAACATCAAGAGAGAAGTGTTAAAGGAACACTTGCACGGCGGAAATACCTAAGATAAAATTTGCCTAAAATAATTTATAAAGATGTGACTATATTCTTACTTCTTTTCTTGACAAAAATATACAATGGGTAGAAAGTTTTGTTATTGTTGTTGTTTTGACAGGGTCTTCCTATGTTCAAGAAGGCCTCAAACCCACAATCCTCCTGCCTCAACCTCCTGAGTGCTGGTACTGAAGATATGTGCCATTATACCTGGCTTGGTTCAAGAGTTTCTATCAAACAAAAGTCACAGAGATGTATCTTTTTTTTTTCTTTTTGGTAGGACTGGGATTTGAACTCAGGGCTTCACTCTTGCAAAGCAGACAGTCTACCACTTGAGCCATATCTCCAGTCCATTTTACTCTGGTTATTTTGGAGATAGGATCTCATGAACTATTTGCTTGACCTTAAGTGGCAATCCTGCTGATCTCAGTCTCCCAAGTAGTTAGGATTATAAGAGTGGGCCACTGGTGCCTGGCTACTGAGATATATCTTAAGAGCCAATATAAATGATCTATACTTAACTAAATTTTTCTAACTGCAAGGTACAAACTGGACTAGGGATATGGCTCAATGGTAGAATGCTTGCCTAGCATTAACAAGCCCTGGGTTTGATCCCCATCCCTGCTAGGGAAAAAAAAAACAAAACAAAATCAAACTTAAGCATTTTATATGTAAAATACTGAGACTCTAGTTTTATTTCAGCACTAGTTGTTTTAAGAAAAATACTGAATTGGATATTAAAGAATGAGACTATAATTTACCTCTTTCTTATCTCCCTTAAAAATATGTCCCTATCATAAACTATAACACATGCATGACAAGTTTTTCCAAATCCAGAGTACTGTGACACTTCAAAGCAAGTTTAATAATAATTATCTAAAATGATTTAGTTAATTTTTGGAAGTCACTTTTTGAAGACAGTCTCAACTTTACAAAAGCAATTTTGATCACTGTAATCTAGGATGTTTAGCACAATTTTTTTCTACATTAAAGTATAAAGTGAAGCAAGTCTACTGACTTATTCTTAATTGCACCCAATTGATTTTGCTTCCTTATAACAGATGCTCGTTAACTCATTTTTTAGAAGTCTTAAGAAATGTTGAATGATACGAATTTAATCTCAATAGTTGCTTGAATTTGATACTCTGTCATCACTTAGTGTAATTTTACAAATAATCAGACCATTTTGCATTTACTTTACATATCATACCACTAACAAATTATTTATTTTTAAATCTATTTAAAGTAAGTATGAATGAAGATTGTTATCCTATATACATCCTAAACAAAACTATTTTGACTTTTGCGTATTTTTTGATACACATACAGGTATTTTAAAAGAAATTCCTATGCAAAGAAAAAAAGAAAGACTGTGGATAGCTGTGCATGGAAATAATTATTAATAAAGGTTAGACAATTACTAGAGAAACTGAATGTTGTAGTGCACAACTTTAATTCCAGCAAGAAGATTGTGAGTTTGAAGGTAGCCTGGTCTAAAAAGTGGGCAAGTTCCAGGCCAGCCTGAGCTGCACAGAGAGATCCTATCTCAAAAAACAAAAAACAAAAAACAAAAAAAAAACAACAAAAAAAGAAAAAGATAATTACTGAAGAGAAACATAAAAGAATCTACAAGTCATAGATGATTCTAAGGGTATTTTCTTTCCTTTTTAAAAAAAAGTATTTTTAAACTGAGTAAAAACTGTATATATTTATGGTATACAACATGAAGTTTTGAAATATGTGTGTATTGTTTAAC